GTGACAGATCAAAGGTAGGGTCTTTATCTACCTCATTATCCAATGGAGGTTGGGTGGATGGACGAGAATTATCACCGGTTGCCGTTCTCTTTTCATAAATCCTACACAACTTCATGTAATGTGGACACCTTTTTTTCCTGAATTGTCTGACATGCTTATTAACCTATGTTCAAAGAAAATAATGAAAGATAAGCAATACTTATTAACCTAAACCATTTGTCATTATGGTTAAAAAAAATGGATAGTAATCAATACTAAAACCTACCTTGCACAAATCCTTCCAAACCTCATCCTCCAAGGCAATTGTTTTCTTCACGGGATCCCAACCAATTCCAATTTGATTCAACAATTTCTTGAAAACATGGTAAATAGGTCTCAAATTATTAAACTTCCTTCGTAGTTGTTCATACGTGTAGTTGTACCTCGTGCTTAATTGCATGTTTCTTACGAGATTGTTCCACCTAAGTTTGGTAAAAGTAGCATTTGGTCTATTTTTTGTTGCTACTTTCCTATCCATCAAGTCAATGAAAAGTGCCTCCTTATCGGACATCCATATGGCTACATTTTTGTCATTGTCAACCTCTTCAACGTGAGTTTATTCGTTACTCGTTTTCATCTACAACAATTTTGTCAATTATACTAACAACTTTCCAACCACTATACATAACCATACTAACAATTCACAAAATACAACAAGGATCAAGGTGTACAAATACACAAATCCAAGTTAACATCAAATCCAAGTAATGCATTGATAGACAAAAGAAAAGGTGAAAAGAATAAATATAACCACCATCAATACATCATCCCCCTAATATGAGCATAATTTAGTACAATAAAATTTAATACAAAAATATTATTTAAAACTTCACAACTGCTATTTGTATTGGTGATGTCAGCATATAATTTTCTTCAAAAGATGATCCCTGCTTCTAAATGTAGTGGCTAAAAGTGCAATTATTGGTAACCCCTGTGATTAGAATTAGTATGTAGTTTTTTCACCTCCCATCCCATAATCAATAAGTTGTTGAGGAAAAACTTGAAGACAAGGGATGCAAGAAGCAAGAATGTCTACAAACCTTATTTTCCTTTGCAATTTTTCAGTAGACCAGAAAATTCTTATAAGTGTTTCTACAATTTTAAAAATGTTATTTAAATGAGAAATTTGAAACTCTGAAATTATTGATTTCTCAAAAAAAAAATCATGCAAACTATTGGAGTTCTAAGGGCATCATGCGTTAGAATTTTGCTATCAACCTCATCAACCAAAAGAGAAGTAGATGCAAAATGGGAGAATTGGATCACCAATGGATATTCCCTTATGCTGGTATAGTCATATACGGGAAGGCGACAATCACTTCCGATGTCAGTTTCCATAAATTAAGCAGAGGCTCCAAGTTATTGAGTACCACTTAAGTTGGAAGCACAACAAACTTGGAAATATTTAGATCACTTTCTTCGATACAATTATAAAGCCTTTTATTTATGTATTCTTCATTTTCTCATAAAAAGGGACAAAAAATAAGACATTATTCAATAGTAAAGTCACAGGCAAAAGAAGAATAAAAATTCCACATGACTAGAACAATTTAGAAGGGGGTGGAAAGGAATGCAAACAAAAAGAAGAAAAACATAACCTGCAAACAAAGAGGCAATGCTAAAAGAAATCAATGTGTTAAATGTGAACCGCAATGGAAGCACCACTTTCGCTACCAAATCCCCATTAGCCTATCTTAGAACCCATCAATTGGGCTCTTAGTGTAACAGTCACGTCAGAATATAATTTTTGGACTCACATCCAACATTGGCTAAACAATGATACTCAATCATATGAGTCTCCAAATATCTAAGGAACAGATATAATATTTGCCTCTACACACAACCCAATGTACCAAGTCATATTTTCTGAGATAGCAAAAGCAGAAAAAAAAATACGATTAAACCACAAAATTGTGGTCTGCCACATAAAACCAAAATAATCAAAGCACAAAACCGTGGTCTGCCATCAAAACAAACACCAATGTGCTTTGTAAAACCCTAATGATAAATTAATAATGAAATCTCCATACAAATATATAGATTTATGTATATTGTGATGAAAAAAATACAGATAAAAAAAATACGATTAGGGTCTGTAATGTATATATCTATGTAGATCTATGCATATAGATACAGATCTATGTATATATATATATAAACAAGTAAAAGGGTTACACTTACTTTCTTCGTCTTCTGCTGTGAGTCTTCTTCGTGTGAGCCTTCTTCGTCTGTCGATTTGTGAGTCTTGCTTCGTCTTCGTCGATCTGTGAGTGGAAGAGAGAGAGAGTTAGTGAGAGACCTCCAGAGAAGAGAGATGTACAGAAAGAGAGACGAGGAGAGAGAGTTGTTGCTTACCTTCACAGAAGAGAGAAAGTGGCTGAGACAAGAGAGGGGTGCGAAGGGACTGATTTGTGCGAAGAGACAAGAGTGGATGAAACAAAAGATCCCATATTTATACTCTATCATATGAAGTGGGATTTTGTGGCTAACAAGATTCGAAGGTAAGACCTCATTTAAACAAAAAAACGTGTATTTTCTGTTTTGCGTGTTTCCTGAAACAAAAAATTTTGTTTCCATTTTTTTGTCTTTGTCTCCAATACAACGAAAACAAAACAAAACCAAAAACAGGTACCAAACATATTTTTGACAAAAATTGACAATAAAAACACAAAACACATGACAAAAATGTTGGCCAAAGAGCCCCATAAAGTCTCATACTCAAACCAGCGCTGGGTCAAATAGTCATAATAATCCTGGACGGTCATATCTCCCTATCAACCATAGGAGAGCTCTTGAGAAAGCTCATAAACACGTACTCTCCGTCCTGACTGGGAATACATCTCCGATAATGTGCTCCATAGTTTCAGAATAGAGCTATAAAATTGGTGAATCCTGCAAACAGATGGCTCCATCGAACCAAATAACCATTCAAGAATGACGCAGTTCTCAGAGAACCACGTAAAATATTCAAGGTCGTCATCAACTGGCTTTGGGTGAGATCTCGTTAGCCAACTAAGCTTTTCTACACGACCTAAGAAAGCTTGAATGAGCAAGACCACTCAGCAAAGTTACGATCATTCAACAGCTGTGTTGTAACTTTCTAAGAGATCATGTCCAACAATACTGGTAATGCAACTGTGCCAGCCGATACTGTATACTGGTCAAACATAAAAGTGAAAGTTCTAATAGATGTCTCAACGGTAGAGGTATCAACTGTAGGGGTCTCAAGTCCCTCAGTAGTATTCATATCAATAAAAATACTAGGGCACCCGTGATAGAAAAACAACTCTAAAATAAATAAAGGGATAAAGTAAGAGAGAATAATATACCTCCAGTCGAGCGATAGCGACAGATAAAGAAAATCTAGAAAGCTCTCAAATAATCAAGCTACGTTGCCTAGAAATCCAATAAATATAAATAAATAATCTACTGCATCAAGAGCAGATCAACGAAAAAAAAGATTCAACTCCTCTTACAAGGTCCTATGGTCCCAAATAATCACGAGCACGAAAGCAAAACACAAAGCTGTGACAAAGAGCGCGACCTAGAGGTGGGTTGGTTCGCTAGAGTGGGTATTATGTTGGATTTGGGGCTGGACCAGGTTCATCTTATTGGCAGACTTGGGTGATTTTGTCGCTGGGTTGGGTCAATCGGTGTTGAGATGCTGCTTTGTTGTTGGTCACTAGTTTGTTGTTTTATGGGTGCTGTCGGTGTTGTTTTATGGGTGCAGTCGGTGGACTGATTTTGGGTTAGTCTGGGCTCAATTTATTAAGTATGTCAGTCGATGTGTTGTATGCTGGTATGGTATGTTGTCAATGGAGTTTGGTATGGACTGGTATGTTGGCTGGGTAGTTGGTGAAAGTAAAAAAGGTGGCTGGACAGTCAGTGATTTCTGGTTAGTGGGTTTGTCAGTGTGGGTTGCTGGCTGCTGTGTCGGTGGACTGGGTAGTAGGTTTGTAGGCTAGTATCGCTACTGGCAATTCAGGCTGTAGGTGGCTGGGTTGGGCAGATGATGGCTGCGACGTGGAGGAGGGGCTGGTGGTTGCGACGTGTAGGAGGGGCTAGGGTTAGGGTTTTGGCTCTGATACACCCTTAATGTATTGGTGAGTAAAAAAAAGATACAAACTAAGTGTAAAACCCTATATATATAGCCAATAAAAATAAAAAGGTAAAAAAAAAAAAAAACTCTAATAAAACCTAATAAACTAGGCTACTATAACTCCATTGAGGCAAACAAAATAAACAGAGGTAACAAGAGCAGATGATGAGCAAACTGCGTTTCACAAAACAAAGAACAAAACTACATTTTTAAGGGTGACCAAAACTTACTACAAAACAATAACATGACACTATGACAAGTAGCTTGAGAGGAGTAACATTGGGTGTGTATTCAATATTCCCAAATAAAAGGGAAATTTGATTTATGATCGATTTCGTCACACATAAATAGGAATTTCTAGTTGTACCTTGGTAAAAACAGACTATTTTCTTTAGTGGAATTAATCAATTCCTTTGTTTGCAACTGAATGAGCCATTGTTACAGGTTCTAAGAAAACATACTATACTGCCACTGTTGGTTCCACTACAATGTGGAAAAAACTTCGTTGCGAAAACATGGTGAAAATAACAAAATTGGAAGAACTCGGTAGTTACTAGGATGATAAAAATCCCCCCAACATTAATGTGTTCCAAAGACATCAACCACAACCTTAGCATCAGTCACATAATCAAATCAAGGAAAAAAGAGAAATATAATCAAATCAAGGAAAAAAGAGAAATACTAACCGAATTATAAATAAGCATAATGAAGAAAAATCCAAGTACATGACCATACAAGCTTCAGGCATCTCCTGAAACTAATTCCATTCTTTTACCTACTCAAAAAAAAGGCCAACTATTTATCAAGGATAAACTAATCCACAGAGGATAGTCACCATATTCTAGCGAGAGATCCTAAACATTCATTCATAATCATCCTCTTCCTGAAAGAACAAACAATATAGTAGTCTTAGGATATACCAAGTACATATAATATAATTGAATGCCAAGCTTAATTTTGAAATTAACAATGTTTACCTCTCCAGTGCCCTCCTCATCGGCATCATTCACCTCAGACCTCGAGTTTTCAAACTCCTTTTCACCAGAGGCGTTTCCACCATCCACCTGTGGAACAAAGATGAAATTTAAAAAGATAAATGAGACAAACCACAAAGAAGATGATCACAAGCTAAATTTCTATTCAAATTGCAAAGTAATGCAAAGAATTCATACATGAAAACAAAGGCGGTTAGCAGGCCTCTTTGGCTTATTAGGATCCTTAGCGGACTTCGCTCTCTTAGTCAATGTCTTGCTTGCAGCCACGCCTCCCTTCTTCACATAGAGCCTAAAAATAGCCAAATCCAGAGAGAGAGTAAGACGGATGGGGTCCGCCCCCTCCCTCTTCCTCCAAGCCCCAACCAAAAAAATTTAACACAAAAAAAAATTAAAAAAAGAAAAGAAAAATGGGGTCATGGTATGCTCCTCAGTTACAGTGAACTTGAAGTAAAATACTCAAGTGTACAGTTATCCAGTCCTTAGTTTGTGTGTGAAAAATAGCCAAGGAAGTAACGAATGGGATGCCTTCTGGCCTTCTGCAATTGTGAGTAATCAGCTAAATTACTAGCAGCTGTTCATGTAATTTGAACAGAAAACTCATCTGTTTCATGTAACAAACAGCTGCCATTTCAGTTGTCTCCTTATTACTTCAACATTCGAGGCAGACATGGGTAATTAGCTCTAACTATGTTATTGGTGCCACACTTTGATAGAGAACTCTCAGCAGTCAACCAAATCATCACTAGGACTCTACATCAAGCTCAACCTCATCCTCAAGCTTGTCGGACTGGGCAGTCTCTGGGAAGAATTCTTCAAGAGGATACATCTTCTGAAATAGCTGTCATATGCAGAGTCACCAAATTAGAGTGAGCACTAAAATATGAATTATATAATTTCCAAGACCTCAATCGGTATAGCCCTCGACACAACAGTTATAGGGGATGTGGATGGCACTCAAGGTGAATGAATTAGTCTTGAAGAATTACTTCAGAAAAAATACTACCTTCATTGCCTCATCTAAAACATCAATGTAGTTCAGATTCCCATCTGGCATTGGAACTGATTCGCATGACCCCTGGACAATGTTCAAAATAGCATTAGAGTCAAGCAGTCAAACCAAGGGCTCAAAATATATAATAAAATTGCATTGATATGTGAAACATTACACACAATGATTAAGGTGCAACAATCATCAAGAATTTCGGCTGCACATGCAAAAAACATGTATGTCAAGGCTTCAAGAAGGGTCTCAACTCTCACAGTGTTAAGTCTGAAGATTGCTAACATAACTGATTGGATGCCCAAAATAAGTAACAAATGGACAAGCTTTTCAAATAAAGCCTACCTTCTTTAGGCTCTCAATATACCTCTATATCCACAGGAAAGTGAACTAGAGATAAAAAAAATCTCTTAAAACCCTGTTTGCTTCTAACCACACAACCTAGCGGAAACTAAATTGTCAGGGGCACGAGTGCACACAAACAATGGCATTCAGTAGAACATAAAAGACTAGATATGTTGAAAACATAATAAGCTCCTGTATAAAGATGAGAAGCAAACCATAATAAGCTCCTGGATGTAGAAGACACTCCAAAGTAGGGTGGGTTTCACTTGTTCTGCATTCTCACTCTGATCAGTGTTTACTATTTTCAGCATTTCCAGACACGGGAGCCCAAAATAAAGCATTTATGGCTGCATGAAGTAAGTTTTTCCCTTGAATGACATTGTCACACAAAGCTGAAAGATATAATATAAACCTGAAAAAGAAAGCACACAACATGAATCAACTATCCCCAATGTTTTGCTCTACCGACAGAACATTTTGGTTAATCTAGAAAAAAGATATTAAAATTCACAGATCACTCCTTACTCCAAAACATGTATTTCCACCGACCAGAACTTCAAGCCATAAAATTTTTTAGAACTTAAATCAATTCAAGTAGTAAGCGTAACTGATTTAGGAATGAATTCCATTTCTTTCACTCCTAGCAAAGGATGATACATCTAAGGCACTTCAGATACTTTTTACCACTATAATACAGCGCTGAGTCGCACTCTTATGTGCCATCTGGCTGCCTGATAAATTTTCTACCCAAACAAGTGCTTTATCAAGAATAGGAGAAAAATGGAACTCCAAAAAGTAGAAAACCTAACCTTCAACATTATTTATACAAAGTAGTGACCCTCATATTTGAAGCCATGATTTTACCACAACATTAGGTCCTTTCAACCGGCAACAGGAATCTATTTTAGAGCATATCCACTTCAAGCAAGCAATGTGAAATGTAAAGACGTCTTGCATACTTTTTGATTATTTTCAATTGACAATCAAAGAGACAAAAAAATCCAGATGCACCATCCCAATAAGAGTTCTGTTTTGGTGCACACAGGCATAGGAAAACAAACATAGTAAAAGAACAGATAAAATCATAATGTGTGCATGTATATAAGTGGTCAGTATCTAATCCGTTGAGAAAAAGCTAAATGGATTACCATGTCTGAAGATAGAACAAATTATGAAAAGCAGAAGAGGTCTAGTTCAGTTTTTCTTCCTTCAGGGAGGAAAAAAAAAAGGAAACAAACAATTAACTTACATGCCAGGAGGACAAACGGCCAAATTGCTTCCTAGCTGTAGAACTCGAACTAATGTCACCTGTTCAGGATACAGAGCTGGAGAGAAAGAAGAGTCAATAAACATGCTCCTTAACCCTTCAACAAAGAATGACTATAGAATGTGGCATAAATCTCACATTTAGGAGGATATAATGCCAGAAGACTTATTGCATCTGCCTTTAAGGAAGTCTTCGTAATGCATATTCCCCTAGCCACCTTTCCTTTAACATCATCCCTAGGCCAAAAATCTGAGAACCTAGGAAGCACGGATACGGATACGTAACACGGGTACGATACGATACGGATATGTGACACGGGTACGATACAATACGGATACGGCGATACGGCAAAACTTAAAAAAATAAGATACGGGCACGGCCAGGATACGTCTATAATAAAATATATTTTATATTTTATTATTATTTAACGACTTAAAAATTAAAATTTTTCAATAATTCTTTAACATTAGTAAGTAAAATTAGAAATTTTCACCATGAAAAGGTTATAATATCATCTCATTATGATCTGTTCATAAAATGAGCATAACAAATTAAAGGAATTATAATAACATTTAACTAGTTGGTTTTACAAGTATTTATTTTTAAAAGTATAGTTTAAGTGATTCTTTTTTTTTATACCCTCTTAACATATAATAATAGATAATACTTAAAAAACACTCATGTTTTTAAAATCAGATGGAATTTTATTGATATTTTATATTGTATGTGAACTCCAAAGAAGGGTTATAGCTTAAAATTGAAAATTGTACATCTTACACCATATTTAGAAGTATCCGCGAAGTATCTACATATTTTATTAATTATCGGATACGGATGATGCGTATCCGATACGTATCATCGAGTATCCGACGAGTATCGTATCCGATACGGTATCGGATACGGGTACGTCGACCTTGATGAAGTATCCGTGCTTCATAGCTGAGAACTATCTTGCAGAAAATCTGAGGGAGAATTACGAACTGGAGATGGAACTGTAAATGATGAATCTAGGATCACCTGATGGCTGGATAGCTCCAGACCAGAAGCTATCTTAACCCCTTTACAACTGTTACTGGCCTGCAAATTTTAATGAGATTGCATGTCCAAGATTACTAAATGCTTTTTGAAAAAAATGGCATGAGTGAGGTCCATGTAAACCTCTTAAGCAGCCATAGTATATGCATCCTTAATGCTTCTGAAAGTTATCAAATAAGAGATAATTCCAAACCTTGTCTATAAGCAGAGCATTCACAGCCATTCGCAGAACCTGTATAATAGCTGTTGTAAATGTAGATTAGTATTATAGCTTGGCAAAGCTACAGCAGAATATTTTCACAACAAATTCATATTATCAGGACACTTTTTTATACATTCAATTTATCCAATCAACAGGAGTGGCAATCATATCCAAGGCCCCTAAAATAAGTATTATCATGGCCCCATAAACCTATGTCCAGAGTAAATGTTTATGTACCGTGCTTGAAAACTTTCCAAAATCCATTTGCAAACCGAGGTTTCCCTACTCCCTAGGGAGCGAGCTAGGCCATGTGGCTGATCCAAGATAATCGCGAAAAGGCTTTCTTTGGTTTGGTAGAGTGCATCCAAGCTATTCTTGATTCACAATTCACAAAGGTCCAAGTATAGGTGACAATCATAGCTATCCATAGAGAAGTAGTTTACAACTATGCTCAGTGAAAACTTACATACAGAGAGCCTTTGACAGCAGCATGGCGGCAAAACACTTGTGGGAGTTCCCCTTGACCATGCACAGGGTAAATCAAAGCCCCCAGTGCATTAGGGAACCTGAAAAAGATGAAACAACGTAAGAAATGATCTGTCGTGGAACACATACGGCACATGTGATGCCCACAATTGCAACTATAAGACTTCACAGCATAAAAGCAGGTAATGCAGTATTCAGTTTTTACTGTCAAGAGATGTTAAACTTGTCAAACTGTATGGTATCTAACAGAAACCTTATATAAAATCAAGTATATAATGTTGCAGCTATACAAGGGAAATCTGTGCATACTGATCTACATGAGCAAAAAAAAGGTTGAATGAAATCGATCATTTTGCTGCAGTTTTAATTTATTTTCTGTCTTGTGATAAGTTCTCCTGTTCATAGCCATTAACAAAACCATTGCTGGTTTGACCTCTGCAAGATGAAATGAAATGCACATCGCATTAAACTCGGTACATTCTGTGCATCGAATCACTACTCATATGACATATCAATTGTCAAACAACTTCTTGTCGGCATTCTATCAATTAAGAAAAGATCCAATCGCTTTGTTTTTTCTTTATTAATATGAAACAAGTAGACGGTTCCACAAGTCTGATTGTCTTTCTTCAAGTGTACTTTATTTGGGGACTGTATTGGAAAAGATGAACCAGAAGTTAGGCTGCATTTTTCAGATACTAAGATCAGTCATAACTCATATATAACAAATCTTTTGGACATTTCCATGTCACCTTCCATCATTTCTAAGGCTGAAACACAGCCATCTATACACTCCCATCTCTCTTTAATGCTTACTCATAGGGTGCTTGGTCAACAATATAGAACTTAAGCCAATTTTATATAAGAAACAAAGATATCTTACCCCTTCCGCATTAGAGAAAAAACGTGGCGACATAAGGAGGAGGGTTTTAAAGGGTTAAGATCAGAATTAGGAATCAAACAGAAAAACTCAAAAATCACTACTGCATAAGTTTTCAGTTTTCCAGATGAAAACAACTTTTCATGTTTTTGCCCTTGACCAAAAAAAAAAAAATTTTTGCCCTTACGTTTTGTATTTTTTCCTCGGCTGGTCACAATTGTCTTCTACATAAAATAGTAATCGCAGTTGACTAAACTTCAACAAAATGGAACTAGAATAACTACTGGATAACCATTGTAGTATGAAAGAAAAACAACAAATACCTGCCAACAGAGGAGTGGTAAAGTGCTAAACAACTAATTCCCTCTTTTGTCTTGACAACATCTTTACAGACTTCCACATTCTCTTGATCATAATCTGCCATAGTTATTGCATATAGTGCAAGTTACTCATAACTTGCTAAACTGATGAGTAATGCAAGTTACTCATCAGTTTGTAAAGCACCAAGTAAAAGGAACTAAGGCAAGAAACATTATAGCATCATTTGCAATTTTGATAGGACAACAGAAGTTGGCTACAGCGGAATTTTTTATGCATCATTTGCAATTAAAGTCCTCCAAATAGGCAATTGGAAAAGCACAAATATACGGACAAGGTATCAACTTCATTAGGGAAAAAAATGACCTTCACTAACAATAAGCCATCACATAGATATACAATCAAGAATGTACAGAGAGAAACAATGGCAGCTCTTACAATCTCTACAGAAAAGCACAAAAAGACAAAGGAGAGAGAGAAGCTTAAAGAAGAATTATTTCAAACAGAAACAAGAGCCAAGAAATGTAACAAAATTCACAGACACCAAAATGCATCATAAAAAAAAATTGTTTGTTCATAAATAGCCGCAACACAGAATATATGTCACCATGAAGCAAGTATATGTTGAAAGCAATACTCTTAGCCTAACTGGATTGTGGGTTTTAATTGTTTTACGTGCTCACATAAGGTCTTCACCCCCAGAAAAATTAATAATAAATAGGCAGAGCATTAAAAAGAAACAAACATAACAAAAGCAACAGTAAAACTTTAGGTTCCATTTGGTAATCTGGAAGAAGAGGGGAGGGAAGGGAAAATGATCTTAAAGTAACAAACCACTACCTTTCCCGAAAATTTTCTCTCCTTCCCATCATTCTACAGATAACTAAATGAAGGGTAAATTTTCCTTTCTACACTAAAAACAGAAATTATCCGCTAAATGGTTAACCTACTATACTTTCTCTTCCCCAGTCCTCTAAAACACAAATGCAGCATTTTCAGGCAATCAACAGCTTATAACAAACCAAATTCAAATAAATAAATAAAACAGCTTATAACAAAGATGCCCATAACTTGAGAATTTCAACCAAATATACTGATACTTTAGTTTTCTCAATAAAACTCCCCCTAGTTGTCAAATGGAATTAAAAAAAAAATCAGAATCACATAACAACTTTGTGAAAATATTTCTAATCAATAAATAATGATAGTAATAAACATAAACTCCTAAGAGTTAAAAGATACTGAAACAAACAAAGAACTCTCACTAAGAGCATCTCCAACCCACTAACCATTCTCCAATTTTTAGTTATTTTGGTGAGCTTCACTCCAAAAATCAGCTCCAACCAGCTAGCTATCCTCCTCGCCAAAATTTAGGAGGTCTTCATACTTGCCAGATCTGGAGAAGCCAGATTTGCTCGCCACTCCTTGCTGCTGAACATCTTCAACTGTGAACAATCAAGTATTCATCTCTCCGTCCACACCCCCACCCCTCTGTTTTGCTGCCAAAATCCACCTTCCCCTCCCCCTCTGTTTTGCTGTCAAAACCCACCTCCCCCTCCCCACTGTTTTGCTGCCGAATGCCGAACACCCATCTTTATTGATTTTTGGGTAAATGGTGGTTAAATTTTTGGTTAAATCAGTATTAATTTGTGGTTAAATTGTTATTGATTTATGTTTAAATTGGTGGTCAAATTGGTATTGATTTTTGGTTAAATTGTTATTGATTTGTGATTAAATTTATACAATGCATGGTTGAATTGTTTTTTGTTATTTGAAGTGGATGCGTGTTAAATTGCTATTTAGTTGTATTATTTAAAATTTGATTAGAATTATTGTTATAGTATGCTTTGGGTTGAATTACATGAATAATGTATGATTTGGATTGAATTCTAAGCATTAAATATGGAACCATTTGAACATAAATATTACTCACTAATCTCTTAAACGACGGAACAAACATAAATGAGTTTACCACCGAATCAATAAACCACATAGGTCATTTTTCACTAATATCACCTCAAATAGAATTCACCACCAAAAATGTTCAAAGCGACAACTTTACAGTTGAGGAGGACTTAGTTTTAACTTTGGCTTGACTTAATATTAGCATGGATGTCGTGCGTGGAAATGAGCAAAAATCTAAAACGTATGGACGGAGAATTTTGGAGTATTTCAATGAATACAAACCCCAATCAGACTGTAATCACAATCATATTTTTTTGATGAATAGTTGGTCGACAATTCAACTAATCACCAATAAAATTTTGTGGTTATTTTGACCAAATTAAAAGGTTAAATCAAAGTGGTGTCACAGAGAAAGACAATATATGAGTGTATTTTTAATTACGAGTGTCAAAATAGTGTACTTTTCATTTATAATACATAGTATTATTGTAAAATGCAAAGAAGGTGTACAAGGGACGGTATAAATGTTCTTTTTTGTTTGAACATTGTTGGAATGAGTTACAGTATCAACCAAAATGGATGGAGAATTCTCAGTCTAAGAAGTAAAAAATAAAAGGTGGTGCAGCTCCTAGCAACTGTAATCCTTCAACACCAGAATCAATAAACAAATGAGAAGACAGTGCGTTTTAGCACATTGATATCAATGTGGGATCTAGGTAACCCAAAAAAGGTATGTCAAATCCATATATCGTATGAAACCACCATCTCTAATACTTGTTGGCATAGTTATCAAATCATGTATCGGAGGGCGTATTGTTTTTTAAAAATAGTGTATCATATCATGCATCGTATCGCGTATCATAAGATACAGCGTAATTTTAAAAAATTAATTGTAAAATATATATGCTTTTGAAAAAAAATCCTAGACTCATAAAAACATAACATTTCATTAATATTCCACTTAATATTCAAGTCACCAATATAATTTACTAATATTAAAAAAATAATAAACGGTATCAAATTAAATTAATGATACTTATATATACTTAAAAATAAAAAATTATAATGTAGGGAGTATTAAATAAAATTTTTCATTCTTATAACCACAGTCGTGAGTCTACACAGTACCCACGACTCACGAACAAACATAGAGAGCCAGAGAGAAAAGCAAAAGACGATCGCCGATCGCGATGCTGATGCTGGTGGAGAGAGAGAGCGAGAGAGAGAAAGAGAGAGAGGAAGAAGAAGAAAAAGAAGACGAACAGTGGTACCTAGGGTTTCATCCGAAATTTACAGGTTAGTTTTACTATTTTTTTCAATTTCAAAAATTTGTTTGATTTGTTTTTGTTTTTGTTTTTGCTTTTGTTGATTTGTTGCCTGGTAATTCTTGTCTCCTTAATCTCTGTTGGTTTTTTTTTTTGGCATTTTCTCTATTATCTGATTTTGTGGGCTTCGGTGTCTTTATTTCTGTTGGCTTCGGTGTCTTCATCTCTGGTGCGAATCGGGCTATAAAAAAAATAAATTAAACAGCGACTTCGCATATCGATGCGTATCGGTACAATATGTATCGTATCGTAAAAACGTATCATGTATTGGGCGATACAATACAAAAACGATACATAACTACGATCCGTATCGGTTTAGGCCTGTATCGTGACGTGTCGTACGATATTAACAACTATGCTTGTTGGTGGTTTTATACAATCTATAAATTTGACATGCTTTTTTTTGGTTACCTGGATCCCACAATGATATCAATGTGCTAGAATGCACTGTCGTCTCATTTGTTTACCGATTCTGGTATTGAATGATTAGAGCTATTAGGAGTTGTATCACTTTTTGTTTTTTGCTTATGAGACTGATAATCTTCCATCCATTTTGATTGATACCGTAACTCATTCTTCAAACGAAAAAGAACATTTATACAGTTCCTTGTACACTTTATTTGCATCACGGATTTGAAAATTATACAGTAATACTATGTATCATAAATGAAAAGTATGCTATTTTGACACTTGTAATTAAAAATGCACTCATACCTTGTCTTTCTCTGTCACACCACTTTGATTCAACCTTTCGAATTGATCAAAGCAGTCACAAAATTTATTGGTAGCTAGTTGAATTGTTGACCAACGATTTATCAAAGAAACCTGATTGTTATTACAATCGACTGGGGTTCGTATTCGTTGAAGTCCTCCCAAACCCTTCACAAATACGTTTTATATTTTTACTGATTTTCATGTATGGTATCCACACTAATATTAAGGCAAACCGAGATTAAAACTACGTTCTCCTCAACTGTAAAGTTGTTGGACCTTTTTGATAGTGAATTCTATTTGAAGTGATATTAGTGAAGAATAACCTATGTGATCTACTGATTCGATGTTAAACTCATCTAAATTTGTTCTGTCGTTCAAGAGATTGGTGAAGTAATATCCATATTCAAATGGTTCCATACGTAATGCCTAGAATTCAACCCAAAACATACATTATTCATGTAATTCAACCCAAAGCATACATTATTCATATAATTCAATCCAAAGCACACTGTAATAATAATTATAATCAAATTGCAAATAATACAACTTAATAACAATTTAACACCCATCTACTTCAAATTTAACCAAAAATCAATAGTAATTTAACCACCTAGTTAACCAAAAATTAATAGCAAATTAACCACCTATTCAACCAAAAATCAATACCAATTTAACCACCTATTTAACAAAAAGTCAATAGCAATTTAACCACCTATTTAACCAAAAATCAATAGTAAATTAACCACCTATTCAACCAAAAATCAATACCAATTTGACCACCTATTTAACAAAAAGTCAATAACAATTTAACCACAAATCCATACTAATTTAACGACTATTTATCCAAAAATCAATACCAATCACTAACAAAAATCAATAAATCAATAGATTTGGGTTTTCGGCATTGGGGGAGGTGAGGGTGGGTTTTGGCATAGGGAGGGGGAGGGGGTTTCGAGATTGGGGAGAGGGAGGGGGGTTTCGACAACAAATCAATCTGCAAAACAGAGGGAAGGAGAAGGTGGGTTTCGGTAGCAATCGACAGCAGAACAGAGGGGAGAAGGAGATGGATTTCGAAAACAAAACAGATGGGAGGGGGAGGTGGGTTTCGGCAGCGATCGGTAGCAAAACAGAGGGGAGGGGCAGGTGAATTTCGGCAGCAAAACAGAGGAATGGGGGTGTAGAGGGGGAGATGAATACCTAGTTGTTTAAAGAAGTTCAACAGCCAATAGGAAGGAGTGATGAGCAAATTTGGCCTCTCCAAACCTTGCGAGTGTGGAGACTTTTTAGATTTTGGCGAGGGAGGTGATATTTTAAGTGAAGCTCGCCAAAATGACTAAAAAGTGGAGATTGGCCAGTGGGCTCGAGATGGTCTAAGAGAGAAGGAAGGGTGATTCGATGTGTACAACTTTAACTTCGGTGAAAACCCCATTTTCTCCAAGAAAACCACGAACGGACTCTCCAATTCCTCCGCCGAAATCCTCTTATTTTCACCGCTCGCGCCATCAACAGAACCAACAGCTTGCAAATGTTCCTGAACCAGATTAAAGAACCTCATCAGCTGATTCTTTTCGGTAAGCCCTAGACTCCTATCTTTGAATATGGCTTTCCTCGAATCAGGCACATTCCAAAGCTTCCCATCAACGTCACAAACAAAGCTCGCCTCAGTACTCTGAAACTCCATGTACTGATTTACCCCCAACCTCAGCATGAGGTCAACAACCGAATCAGCACAGAAGAAAACCCTAGGTCCGGCCAAATCGATGCTGCACATTCGAGATTGTTCGAGGGGTTCGGTGGAATAGGAGGAGATCTCGACTTCGGAGTACATGGTTTAGGTGGTGAGAGAAACAGCGATGAATTCATCAGTGTCATTTGATTGGGGTAGCGGTATATGAAGATACGGATCGAATGATTGGGACTGGGAATGGAGGAAGGAGGTGAGTTCGTCGAGGGGGAGAGAGGAGAAGTGGGATCCGTAGAAGGAGTTGGAGTCAAGGTGGATTACCGATTTTCCGACGGCGGAGGCCGCCGCGGCCATTATGGATGATGGTAAATCGGTGCCGACGTCGATTAGGTCAAAGTTGGTGGGTTCGATTGGCAGATACTCCGTCGTATCGGCCATTGCGACCAGCAATACAACAGATCACAAGTAGAGATAAAAATCAGTAGCAAAACCAACAATACAACACATATTCCAGAGAGCAAATAGCAAAATCAGTAGCCATAAAACATCAGCAACTGGAGAAAAAAAATCAGATCGCATTTGTTACAGATCAGATTACAGTGAACGACTGGACAAAAACAAAAAAAGGGATCAGATCAAATTTGTTACAGAGGCTTCAGCGAGGGAAAGGAAAAGAAAGAGTGGAGACAAGTTCTATGGTTGCTTCGGTGTGCTGAGCAACTGGAGGAAAAAAACAATGAACAGATCAGATCACACACCACACCGTAGATCAGAAAAATTCCATAGATCTGATCAGAATTTGTTACTTGAAGGAGAGGCCTTCAGCTAGGAAGACGGAGAGTGAAGAATAGGCAGCTTGCGGCGTCGTTGGGCTGAGCGACTGAAGAGCTACAGACAGAGAGACGGAGGAGCTCCGCCGGCAGTTAAAGTCTAACAGCACGGCGCCGTCTTGAAAAAAAATTCAGAAACCAGCTAAACACACACACACAACGACGTCGTCCACAACCCCTCTGAACCCGCTGCAATGTTGTCTCCAACCTGCAAACAAAAACCCCCTTGTTAAATATAACTCTGGTATCTAAAGTACGTGTGCAGTGTCTATTTAATTATCAATTTTTTAATTGTGATTATTTGATTTCTAAAAATTTTAATTATTATTTATGTAATTCATTCTCAAACGTTTGTCAAGAAATCACTAACGTCCTTAGTCATGCACCAATTATGTAAAACAAATAAACACAAATTAAGAACCATTTAATTGGTGTGCGACCAAAACTAACATGATTTTCTGAGTGACGTTTGGGATTGGACTATTAAGAAACAAATTAAGAATCTTAGGGATGAAATAAATACAATTGAAATATTAGAGATCAAATAGATATTAAACACATACTTTAAAAACTAAAAATATATTTTACCCATAACCCTTCATTAGGCCATTTAGGCATGTGGGAATTCAATTAAGAATATAATTACATGTTGAGTGATAAAATCCAAAATTTCCTATTGCTGTGTATTTAGTAGTATAGGGCCGGCCTTTTCACGAAATTCCCACAGGCAACAAAAACTATTTTATTGCTAGCTTTCATTTAGGTTATATAATGACTCACGAGAAAGGTTCAAAATTTACAAAATATACTACTCAAATTTGGAAGAATGATTGTTTGAAAATATATTATTAAAATTTTAAAACTTACATTGATGTTAGGGCTTCGATTTAGGAGAATGGTTGCTTGAAAATGATCATGGTTGACAAATTGTTCGAAGACATTCCTGGTTTAAACGAGAATCACAGCGAAGAAGACAATAGTTCTCGGTTGGAGAAGAAGACGACACCCCTTTCTCTTTCTCTTTCTCTTGTCCCATTGAAAATGAAATAAACATAAAGATGGAAGGATTGGTTTGTCGAATTTGTCAAAAAAAAAAAATTTCTTTCCTTTGTCTGATGATTTTGGTATTAACAGTGTACATTATTTGTTGAATACCTTCTAGTACTCAGGATGGCAATCGTGTTGATTCGGATTGAGTCATTTCGAATTCGTATCGACCACTAGCCAACTCTAACTCAATCTGTTTAATTAATCGTGAAGTGTCGTGTCGACCTATTTATTTTTATGTTATGTTTGTATTAACCCGTATAACTTGTAAATAAAAAATTTAATGTTCAATTTTATGTCTAAAATTTTTTTATCCCTTAATCAAACTTGAAGGGGGAATCAATAAATGAGGTCGAAAAGATGGATTCGGAGCTTGGATGTCGAATCCCAGGCGTGAAGTGACTTCGTTCTTGTTAAAAGAAACTAAAAGTAAGGGATCGGTGTGGTCCACCTCCGATGCCAAAGTTAGTTTAGTGGAATAACGTGTTTATTAAGTCTAAAAATAAAAAGATAGAGAGTTTTCTCTTAAGCAATTTTTATTTACCTTTACCTTTCATTTATGAGGTCTTTTATGGTTATGTTGAGTGTGTTTTTAACTTTAAGGGGTAATGATTAAAAGGAATCATTTATTATTGGGTATGTATAAAACTATTGTCATGCAAGAGCCTTTCACTATTAGCTTGTCTCAGTATGGTGGCAGTCTACGTGTAGGACTATCAAAATTTGACACGATATGATTAATCGATACGAATTGACGTGAATTAAACAGATTTGAGTGAAATTTTAACGGATTTAGGTGGTAAACAGGTTGACCCATCAGATACGTTTAATAAACGGGTTATTTTCGGGTGAGACTTGTCAAACCGTTTATCACACGTTTACCCGTTTTAAATAAAATTAATATAATATTAAATTAATAATTATTTTTAAAAAATTAGCCAAAAAAAAGAAGTAAACAAATCAATTTCAAAAAAAAAAAGTATATCAGTAGTTTAAAGACAAAAGAGGAGAGATGGGGAGATGTAGAGCAGTGCAAAGATAAAGGCAAACCAATACCTTTTGTTTTTGTCCCACATCGGCAAATGAGGCAGAGATAGGGAGGGTTGACTTGCCTATAAAAGGCAGTGGTCTCTTTTTTTTTTTTTTAGCTTTCAAATATGATTTTTATGTAAGATTTGACTAGAAATTCCTATTTTTTGAAATAAGTACAGCTGACGGTAAAGAAAATGGAGTATTCAAATTTGTTGATATATTTTTTTAAAAATTAAACGGGTTAAATGAGTTATGTCGTGTTACCTGTTTATTAAACATGTCGTGTTCGTGTTGAGATTTTTCACCCGTTTATTAAACATGTCGTGTACGGATTTACATGTTTTTCACCCGTTATCCGTTTAACCTGACATGTAACCGTTTAACCCAACATGTTTGACACTCCTAGTGTCAGACATGCTATCTCAAGTGTCAAATTCTTCCTAACTGGCCTAATGTAGTTAGTGACTGACGTAGTTCGGTTATCTGTTCATCTAACTCTATGACCGTTCAACGTGCTCCGAGGTCCAGATTGTGGCAATGATTATATCCATCAGTAGCACTCGATTCCTTGTGACCTCTTGAGTCGCTTAGTAATTTTATTCGACGGCTCCATTATCCTCGGAGCTCGTTTTAGGCAGCTGTGATGATTAACCTTGAATTTTGACATGATAATTTTTTGGCACCTTTTCAAGTTCGGAAGGAGTGCATTTAAGGTGTTGTACTTTTAAACAACACACATTTGGTAACCACTGCCACGTGTTGCCAAATCTTGTATGGATCTGACCCTTAGGCTCCCCTCTATTGGATTAAACAAATCTGGACCCTTGGTGTTTGGTATAAGTATCATCTCCTTCTCATTTTTTTCTATTCTTCTTTTGGTTTTTGATTTTTTTGCCTTCACTCCCGGACTCCATAGCCGAAGGTTGTCCTATTTTTTCCTTTCTTCTTTTTCCTTTATGAGCATTGAGCCCATACTGGTATATAGTGATAGTTAACCTGAGAGCCTCGTTAGCCTATACAATCCTCCAGATCTTCTTGGGAAGTTTTCAAGTGAGACCCTCAATTTTAGATGTGTGGTTTTAGAGGGTTCCCCTAAGGAAGTTGTAGAAGCTATCACCAAACGTCATAATTCCACCGTTCCTGTTGCTAAAAGTCTCATGTTAGGTGGGTTTAGTGAGGATATTGTAGTGAGTTCTTCTGACCCCCGATGCAGATTTAGAGCGTACTTAATCTATGAGTTAGGGAGATAGGGGTTCTAAGCGATCTTTTTCTCCTTATCTCTATAAGTCATCGTTGTGGGAGGCGTATGAAATAGAGTGCTCTATATCGAGGATAATGTGGTTTCTTTGAAAAATCGATATAGCTTGCCATAGTTTATGAGGGTACGTTTCCATCAGAACATGAATGAGCTTGTCTTCTTCTGGAGAGGTTTATTTCCCCGAGTCGGCCCAACAAGACGGACTTCGGTTCCTGACTCTTCCTTTTATTAGGTCGATTCTTTCATGGTTAGGATTCTCCTCTTGTCAACTGGTGCCTAACGTCTGGAAAACCCTTACTGGTCTAATGGCCTTATAGGGATTGAGCGGTGGGGGCGTCATTCTATTACATTAGAGGAGTTTGTACACTGCTATAAAGTAAAAAAGTGTACAAAAAAGGTTATTTCTACATGAGTACCCAACTAGGGATCCCTAAATTGGTCTCAGGACTTCTTGACTCAAACAAGAAGAGGAAGCCTTGATTTTTCTTTTTGTCTAGGGATTAGGAGTTTGACCCAGAGGAGGGACAATTCAGAGATCGTGCTTTCGGTGCCTAAAGTGTGGGGTGTATCAGTCCCTTCTGGTGAGTTTCTTTTTTGGGTTTTACATTTGTAATTTCGTTAGCCATTTTCCTAACTTGTTATTTTTTTATTCTAGCAGCGAAGAACTTTTGAAGCAAGTTGAACGCGCAACAAAGTTCTCCAGTCACAATTTTTAACTCTTGATAGCAAAAGAGAAAATTGAGTTATTGCCCTAACTTTCTTTTGGGAATTGATTTTTCAAAACTCATTTCCTTATTTGTTTGTTGAAATTTTTATTGGTTCAGGGTCGTTAGGTCATCCTCTGAAAAAGAAGGCCACAATGACTTTAAGAGCACCTTCTGAGGGGGACCTCCCCCTAGCAAAGAAGGTAAAGATCCCAAAAGAGTTAATTCTGACTCTCAAGGCAAGGGTTTTAGGTGAAACCCCCAAGATTGTGATGGCTGTTGCGACGGTGGTCCATCAGGGACAAAGGTTCTCCCCCAGTAATTGACTTGTCGAGGAAAACGATAACCACTAACTGCTCAACTGCCTCCAAGAGGGCTTCCTTGGAGTTCAGGATAACTATGCCCTGAGGTCTTGCTGTCAACCCTATGGCTCGGGTCCAAACAAATTGGCCAAAGAAATGGTAGAGAAGCTGAAGAAGTTGGGCCCTCCAAAAGTTCATGCTTTAGCTTGGAAGAAGATGAGTGAGGTATTTAAGGTTTATTTTTCTATCTTTGACAGTTATCATTCCATAGTTTTTATTCTTTTTTTTTTGGTAGTTAGCAGAGCTTCTGTCTTCGTTAACAATACAAGATCAGGCTTCTGCGACCCTTATCTCAAAGCTCCGAAATTCGAAGTAGATCTAAAGTCCGATCTCTCTAACAAGGACAAACTTCTAGAGAAGTTAACAAAGGAGAGAGATGTCTTCTCAAAGAATTCGGCAGCTACTATTGATCAAGCCACCACCTCTGAAGAGGCTCTTCTAAAGGAGTTGAATATAAGGAGGAAGAGAAAAGAAGTATCTTAGGGATTTTTCCCAAGTATACACAGGAGGGTATGAAGCCTTCCAAGTCCAAGCCTCTACCAAGTTTCCAAAGATTAACTTCAGTGTCACCCAAATAGAGGCTGAAAGAGGTGGATGAGGCTGAAAGAGTTGGAAATAGGAGTTGAGAAGGATTATGTCTCTTTCTTTTACTTATTTTCTGTCGTCACCTGTAATTGTGCATTTCTTTTAATGAAAAATCTCTTCTTTGGCTTATAATGCTTTTGACTGAATTATTTGGAGCGGTTGTTTGAGTTAAATTTGTTAAAAGAAAAGAGATCGAATTTTTTCCTTTCAAAAATGGGTGTTTGACCATTGACAACCAATACCCTGGCTAAAACATTGTGTTGAAAATACTCCAAGTTT